CAATTCATTCGCCAAAGTCCATTGTACAGAAAACGTGTCATGTCGATCATATATTAAAATCAGTCACTGTGAAATGTTGTCCGGCTAGTATGTTTTTTGTCATTCTAAGTAATGCAGATGAACCCACATCAACTAAATGTCTATCCCATTGAATTCAGAATTGAAACTCCAGACGTCAAGAGAAATTTTTTTTTGGCCGGTTAACATCACTACAATAACCAACTCCATACATATTATTTACCAAAAAATTGACAAGAAGAATTATTTGATTAAAAGGCTGAACAAGTCTGGAAAGATAGGATTGCTGCCTTCACTTCTCTCAACAAAAAATGAATCTTGAAAGATGATTGAGAATCAATAAAAATAATGGTAATAATGGACCCTTCGGGTGGCTACATTGTTGTTGTATAACAACAACAACAACAACAACAACATAGTATTTTTCTCTTTTTAATTACACATTCCGTGATTTCTGCGGCATTCCGCATTAATATTTTCATCAGGAACTGGTGTTATTGTCTTATCTAAATATCTATTAATTTCATCCAAATGTTTACTAATGGTTGAGTTATTGCATTTTCATATTCTAATCATGTAATCCTTGCTGTTATGAGTTAGATTCATCATTAAGATTTTGAGCATCTTGAACTTCTGATGGGTTAATTTAAAGAAATACTTCCAAGCAACACTTGTTTTTTTTTTACTTCCTCCTCATAAATTAATTATTTTTTAGTATGAGTTTGAGAACCAACAGTATTTAAGATGATGGATTTGATGGTGTTGATTCTAGGCTTAGAGTAGGACTACAAATATAATAATCATAATTGTTGTGATTTTTTAATTCTGGATCAATAGCATAATTTTATGATAAGTTAAATAAGTGAGTTGATCTGATAAATAAAAGCAAAAACAGATTTATCTCTAGTTCAGGATCTAAATTGATTTTCCTGCAAAAATAATTCAGAAACATGTCCTATTAAAGCTGTGTTGATTTCAAAGAAAGGTTCATCAAAATAAGATTTCATCAGGTATCATTTAATCATGACATTATCATCAATGATGCATTTTTAACATTTAACATTAGTAATTTTCAATTAATCATTATCATTTTATTTTATTTTATTTTATTTTGTAATACTTGAAGATAGTATAAATATGCTTGAAATCTCCAGCAGCATAGTGGAAGTTTGTTGTTACACGAAACGTTATACAGAACTCATTGCTTCTGAAACTTCTCCGTTATATAGTTGTTACCTCTCTAAATTGGAGATCAAGTTCAGATCCAATTCAAATCCAGTTTAACACTTACTTTTTATTGCCAGAATGTTTGCTGTGTATTGTAAAGCTACGTTGCACAATATAAAAAATTAGTGTAACATTTCAAATTTCTACTATGCTATCTCCAGCGAAAAAAAAGTTAATCAACAAAAATAAATAATTGATCTTTCAATAATAACACTTTGGTAATAAAAATAGTCCTTGACTGTAATTGATAAATCTGGCATGATTGATTGATCCCTTTCTGATGATTAATGGTTTGGCCAACATTTAATTATTAGTTAGGAACCCCTTTTATTAGTTTTATTGCTTGTAGGGACGCATCAAGTAGTGTAGTTGTATATGGTGATTCTAGTTTAGTCTGAACATTATTGTGTGACTCTGCAATAGAGCGGAGTTTCTATTCGTAATACTATTCAAATTATTCGTATTGTTATCATTCGTTTTTCGAATTCTTATCATTCGTTTATTATTCGAATTGTTTTTGTCCTTCGTTTATTATTCAAATTGTTATCGTTCGTTATTCGAATTGTTTGTTCGAATTATTCGTTTTGTTTGTTTATTCGTTTATTCGAATTATTACTCGAATTATTTATTTATTCCTTCTATTCGTACCATTCGTTTTATTCGAATTACTCGTTTTAATTGAATTATTATTATTCGAACAATTCGAATTATTCATTTTATTTCGAACTATTCTTTTATTCGTTTTATTCGAACTATTCGAATTATTCGTTCATTGGTTTTATTCGAACTATTCGTTTATTCGTTTTATTTGAAATGTTCGAATCATTCGTTTTACTCGAATTATTCATTTATTGTTTTATTCAAACTATTCGAGTTTATTTTGTTTATTTGAATTATTTCGTTTATTCGTTTTATTCGAATTATTCGTTTATTCGTTTTATTTGTACTATTCGTTTTATTTGAATTATCGAATTACCGTTATTCATTTTTATTCGAATGAACTTCAATTTAATTCGAATACTCAAATTCATAATGAGTAAAACAAATAAACCTTATTAGAATAGAAACCCTAACCATATAGTTGTATATAGTGATTTAATCTAGTTTGCCAAATTTGGTGACTCCGTAGTTCAAATCGCATGCTCGCAATATACGGTTTATGGCTTTAATGACTTTAGGTATCATGTCGAATTTATTATGTAATGCTGAATTGTTGTAATTCAGATAGAAAAATCTATTTTGTGTGTGATACATATTTGTGGCTGAAAAAAGAAAAAAATTTTTTTAGACAAATATAATAAAAAACCACAATGGGAAACACTTTAAATAAAAATAAACATCACGACAATACTTCTACCAACAAAAATGATGAATATTCTGATAGAAGAAATGAAAAATATGGGGAATGTCCAACCTGCAATAGATATAATACTTATTATTTATGGTGTCGATCATGTGATCCAAAGCTATTAACTGAAGGATGGACTAGTGGCAATGAAACATTAGATGAGTTGATTAAAAGTACACAACTTAAAGCAAAATATTATAATAATGATCATTATCTTCAATGGATTACTTATAATGATTTAACAAATATTGAAAAGATTGGTGAAGGTGGGTTTGCAACTATATACAAAGCTACTTGGTTAAATGGTTATAAATATATTCGTGGAAATAAAAGAACTAGCAAAGATATGTATGTGGCATTAAAAAAACTACATAATTCACAGAATATTTCTGACGAATTTCTTGATGAGGTAAATTATTTTATTTTTCTACTTATTTTTTTCTATTTTAAATATTATTAATATTATTCTGAATTCAATATATTTGTTTAGTTCAAAAATTATGTTACATTTTATCATAAATCATTTATAAATCATATTTATGGATTGACACAAGATCCAGCTACAAAAGAATATATTTTTGTAATGAAATATATGGAAGATGGAAGACTTCAAGATTATGAATATTCTGATAAAAGAGATGAAGATTATGGGGAATGTCCAACTTGCTATAGATATAATACTTATTATTCATGGTGTCAATCATGTGATCCAAAGCTATTAACTGAAGGATGGACTAGTGGCAATGAAACATTAGATGAGTTGATTAAAAGTACACAACTTAAAGCAAAATATTATAATAATGATCATTATCTTCAATGGATTACTTATAATGATTTAACAAATATTGAAAAGATTGGTGAAGGTGGGTTTGCAACTATATACAAAGCTACTTGGTTAAATGGCAAGAAAGATTTTGATAGACATAAAAGAACTAGCAAGGATATGTCTGTGGCATTAAAAAAACTACATAATTCACAGAATATTTCTAATGAATTTCTTGATGAGGTAAATTATTTTATTTTTTTATTTCTTTTTTCTAAATATTAATATTAATTTTGAATTCAATATATTTTTTTTTAGTTCAGAATTTACGTTACATTTTATGGTAAATATATTATAAATCATATTTATGGATTGTCACAAGATCCATCTACGAAAGAATATATCTTTGTAATGAAAGATATGAAAGATGGAAGACTTCAAGTTTATGAAGATCCATATATTAGAAATGAAAAATATGGGGAGTGTCCAACCTGCAATAAATATAATACCAGTTGGGCATGGTGTCAATCATGTGATCCAAAGCTATTAACTGAAGGATGGACTAGTGGCAATGAAACATTAGATGAGTTGATTAAAAGTACACAACTTAATGCAACATATTATCATTATAGTAATCATCTTCAATGGATTCCTTATAATAATTTAACAAATATTGAAAAGATTGATGAAGGTGGGTTTGCAACTATATACAAAGCTACTTGGTTAAATGGTTATAAAAGTGTAAATATTGAAAATAAAAGAATTAGTAAAGATATGCCTGTGTCATTAAAAATATTGCATAATTCACAGAATATTTCTGATATATTTCATAATGAGGTAAATTATTTTATTAATACAAAAATATTATTGATTATTATTGTTGTAATTAAATATTTTATTTGTCATTTTAGTTCAAAAATTATATGAAATTTCATGATAAAGTATATATTTATGGATTAACACAAGATCCAACTACAAAAGAATATATCTTTATAATGCATCATATGGAAGATGGAAGTCTTCAAAATGATGAATATTCAGATAAAAGAGATGAAAAATATGGGGAGTGTCCAACCTGCAATAAATATAATACTGGTGAGGCATGGTGTCAATCATGTGATCCAAAGTTATTAACTGAAGGATGGACTAGTGGCAATGAAACATTAGATGAGTTGATTAAAAGTACACAACTTAAAGCAAAATATTATAATAATTATCATTATCTTCAATGGATTCCTTATAATGATTTAACAAATATTGAAAAGATAGGTGAAGGTGGGTTTGCAACTATATACAAAGCTACTTGGTTGAATGGTAATAAAGGTATTGATGAAAATAAAAGAACTAGCAAAGATATGTCGATAGCATTAAAAAAACTACATGGTTCACAGAATATCTCTGATGAATTTCTTAATGAGGTAATTTATTTTATTTTTTATTTAAATGTATTTTCAGATTTTTTAAATATTATTGTTGTAATTAAATATTTTTTATTTTAGTTCAAAAATCATACAAACTTTGACTCATTATATATAATTTATATTCACGGATTAACACAAGATCCAATTACAAAAGAATATATATTTTTAATGGAATATATGGTAGATGGAAGTCTTCAAAATTACATAACTAAAAATTTTAAAAATTTAAACTGGACAAAAAAAACTAGAATTCTTTATGATATTATTAATGGTTTAAATGAGATTCATGAAAAAGAAATTATTCATCATGATCTTCATAGTGGTAATATTCTTCAAAAAAATTTAACTTCATATATTACAGATTTTGGATTATCAGGCCCAGTTAGTCAAACATTATCATCAAACAAAAATGATATATGTGGAGTACTACCATATATTGCACCAGAGGTTTTAAA